CACGTTCGAATCACCCGGAAAACTTCTCAAATCTATCAATGCCAGGCCCCACTCTGATTTAATTGGTATGGGGTCAGACCCAGACATCAGCCTTTTTTTAAAAGCGCCTGGTTAATTCCAATGTTCAGTAGGATTTTGAATCCCCGTCTAACGCCTGGGGCTTTGCCTTCAGCTGGAGTCAGCTTTAATTAATCTCCACTTTAATTCTGTGATGCATATGTCATGCTTTATTATATTTTTGCTTCAGATAAATTTCACTGAGTAATAAAAATAAAGGGAGAACAGTTGGTGAAAATTTACTCAAGAAATTAAGTTTGTCATTAATACAAATGATGGGCCATCTGGATAAGCAATAATGGCCTGTTACTAAAGAGAGTTTTCAAAGGGTGTATGGTTTTTATTATTAAACCGCCCCACAATGGCACCTAATGTACAAAGCATGTATTTTAATCAGAGAAGGTGCATGCTAATTAAACAGTTCTTAATAATTGTTCATTATCATTTATGAAAACCTACCTTTTACCTACATTAATGTCTACTCCAGGGAATACTGGTGGATTTAATGAAACTCAAACATAGTTCCAATGGATAGAGTTGAAAAATAAAAACAGTGACTGTTTTGCATTGAAGTCAGTGATAGTCTCAATTACTGATGGAAATTTATGCTTTGAGATACATAAACTACTTTGCCTTTGCAAATCTTTCTGTCTTTCTCTGACGGTGTTTAGCACACGCACGCATATGCACACACAACACAGACAGCTCAGTGAGGACCAACCGCGAGCGTGCAGGTTCTTGTTCTGATTCTGGCCATCATCGCGTTAGTGGCATGCATTTTTTTTCTTTTCAGTAAGAGGCCTGCCTCAGGGCGATATGTCCTCCGCAGTCCCCCTAGCTGCCTGTGCTGGCGGTTCTGAAGGTCATGCTGTTAGCACTTCTTTTATATTTTAACCTTTGCTGAAACAGTGAGTGCAATGAGCAACTTAGAATAGGGAAAGGAAAACGGTTCTGGTGAAAATGCTTGTATGCATGACTTCAAAATGAGCGTGAAAATTTTCTGCTTCTAACTCCAAGTGCTCGCTGTGATTTCCTTAAATGCATCACTCACCGCTGTTAGAAATCCAGGCCCACACTCGGTTTCAGGAAGCACCCCTGTTAAAAAGGCTGCAAGTCAGAAATCACAGGCTATTCAGCAGTACGTATCTAAATGGAGTTTTCCTTGGGATTTTAATACAATTTTTTTTCTCCCCAGAATACAAAGAACACAATGTACAATTACAAGTTCCGATATATTGTAAGGATCACCCCCTGTCACCGAGTCCCACCCAACACTGCAGCTTCAAAACGGTAACACTCGGGACAGAAGCTCTATGTTTCATGAATCATTTTGACCAGGGGAGCATTCATTTGGCTTCCTCTGTTTAGAAGCGCAGGCCAAATCTTCGTTGCTGTTGTTGTTACCCAAAGTTTGGTAGTTTATTTTAGACTTTCCTTCCCAGGGGAGAAAAGATAGGGGGAAAGGGACTGAAAGCCCTTTTTCCAGCTCTTTCGAATGACTGTGGCTTTCTCCACATTCACATTTGGTATCGTCATTCTAAACAGTGGATTGATTCGCTGAGACCCATATTCGGTTCAGTAAAGTGTTAGGAAGCAAAACCAATTAAAATGTCTAGTTTTTATTATAAAAGCATTTGAGTCAGTTAAAACACTGCAGCCAGGGGTATATATAGAGGTGGTCAGCTATAAACAGTCAGGAGCAAGAGAATCTAGTCAGTTGTCATCAAAAGTAATTTTTGTAACCGAGCTGAAGTCTGTTCTGAATGCAAAATGATAAGAGAGCTATCATATTGTATAATTTATACATATCATATATAATTTATATAAAATTATTATATTAAATGTGTTTGAGATATCTACATCTACCTAAGTATTTTTAGCTAGAGCACCTCAAAATGAGGGGAAGGATAAGTGTCATATAACTTGGATGTTTCTTCTACAGCAGAGAATCAGCCATTGCTGGGCTTATTTCAGAATCCTTTATCAGACTTATTTTTATTTTTTCATGCAGTAACGGACTTCATGTTATTTTTCTTTTTTTTTTATTTTTTTCCATTTATTTTTATTAGTTGGAGGCTAATTACTTTACATCATTACAGTAGTTTTTGTCATACATTGAAATGAATTAGCCATGGATTTACATGTATTCCCCATCCCAGTCCCCCCTCCCACCTCCCTCTCCACCCGATCCCTCTGGGTCTTCCCAGTGCACCAGGCCCGAGCACTTGTCTCCTGTACCCAACCTGGGATGGTGATCTGTTTCACCCTAGATAATATACATGTTTCAATGCTGTTCTCTTGAAACATCCCACCCTCGCCTTCATGTTATTTTTCATGGCTTCTCCATTTAAGTCTTGAGCGATCTATTTCCCCAAATATATAACATTTAAGCGCACCTTCTGTAACTGCTTTTGAATCAAACTGCTGAGCTGTAGGATCTATTTGTGTTGTCTTAGATGATTCAATGCATATTTTAATGTCAAAAAGTTTGAAAAATTTCAACTGTGTATATCATCTAATCAAAGTGAATCTTTTCCAATGGTTTCATTTCATAATGGAGCCATTTATTTTCTGTACATTTACTGTAAATATTTCACTTCAAATTGAAGAAATTTCTTTTAAAGCATTTATTAATCTTTGGTAGAGAAATTATCTCAGGACAAAAAGAGTTTATCACATTATTAGTTTGGAACAACACCTCAAATTATTATTTTTTTTTAAGCAAAGTGAAGTATTTTTTAATTTTCTTGTTTTTTACTCTATCAACAATTTTCAGAAATTTCTGTTTTTCATTTATGATTATAATAACAGTGACAAGAAAATATATTCCTTTCACAGTGAGCTACTGTTGTGGACAGATGCTGCATAGTTTTACAGAGAAATATTTGTCTTTCCCGAATCATTCCCAGAGATTTATACCTCATGGATAAGATAAACATAGATCTCAATGTATTGATATCACTCAGTTTTGATGGGACAAGTCAGGGGGATGAATGTGCTAGACTGTGTCAGCTACAGTTGGGGCTTCCCTGGTAGCTCAGCTGGTAAAGAATCCGCCTGCAATACAGGAGACCCCGGTTCGATTTCCTGGGTCAGGAAGGTCTGCTGGAGAAGGGCTAGGCTACCCACTCCAGTATTCTTGGGCTTCGCTGGTAACTCAGATGGTAAAGAATTCGCCTGCAATGTGGGAGACCTGGGTTCGATCCCTGGATTGGGAAGACCCGTGGAGAAGGGAACAGCTACCCACTCCAGCATTCTGGTCTGGAGAATTACATGGACTGTATAGTCCATGGGGTTGGAAAGAGTAGGACATGACTGAGCAACTTTCACTTCACAATTGTATCAGGATTGTATCAGGAAAGAAATATGTTTCAGATGATATTTAAATTCTGAATTCTATGCCTTCCTTTCCCGGCTCTCACATGCAGATTTATAGGTCTGTATCTGTATTCAAAATGTTTTTGCCTTTGGACATGACTGAGCAACTTTCACTTCACAATTGTATCAGGATTGTATCAGGAAAGAAATATGTTTCAGATGATATTTAAATTCTGAATTCTATGCCTTCCTTTCCCGGCTCTCACATGCAGATTTATAGGTCTGTGTCTGTATTCAAAATGTTTTTGCCTTAACAACCAAGAGTGGAAACTTAGTTCTACATGGTACGTTCTCAAATAAAGCAACTGTATTTTTAATACTTTTATATTCAGAGAATTGATCTGCAAAGTTGTGAGTTTATTTAGGAAACAGTTTTAAATTTAAAACCCTTCCAGTTTTTGCATATATCTCATGAGATGTAGTCACCAAGAGGAAGAGAGAAAAAGCTCTGGTTATCTGCTGGCCAAATCAGAGAAAGAAGAAAATTCAAGAAATTTCAGAGATCCCAGATGGAGTGGTAGAAGTAAGAGGTGATGCAAAGAGGGATTTCAAGTTTGGACAAATTCTCTCAAGTTATTCCAATTTTAAAATGATTTCCACGGCAGCAGCAGTGTGGCGTCATTCTTATTTTATTTGTAATTCTTTGGGGAGGGGCTTATAAAAAGCCTTGTTTAATTAATTAATACAAGGATGAGGCTGGGCACGCAGTCCGCACGAGCATATGCCATGGGTCCCTCCCTCCGCCCCCTCTTGAGAGGCCACAGCGAAATAGCCAGAACCAGGTCCCAGTGCTCACTGGTCCCTCCAGGCCCCTGGACGCTCAGCTCCCTGGGTTCTCAGGCCGGAGTCCACCTGCTGCCTTCTGTCGTCAGCCAGGGCTGGGACAACCCAGGGGATGTTCAGACAGACACGCTTTTTAAAAATATTTCTTTATTTCAAACTATTTATTTGGGAATTAATATCTCCAGTTTTCCTTCTTGTTATTTTTTTGAAAAGGTCTTATTTTGTACTTGAAGCAATAGGGAAACTTATTCAGTCTACAGACATTCACTATGACCAAATTTACTGAAACCATCTTTTGCTGTGAAGCAGAGATGCAAGAAATGCTACTGGAAACAAGGGCCGCCGCCCCAGACCATCATTTTTGACCCTGTGTGGTTTTTTTTGCCACAGAGATGAGGAGGCAAAAGTTGCCCCTCCTTCCTCTGGTTTCTCATTAAAATGGAGCTTTTCTCTTCACTTGTTGGCCAGGCCCCAAATACAATTTCATTTTGGAAATATATTTTTTAAATACTGAAGTATATTTTAGACCCCAAATTTGTAAGTTAATGTTGTAATTATACTTCTTGTTGTTTTTAACATGCTCACTTTCAACTGCATAATCAGACCATGTGAAGTCAACCGCATCCAGTGAAGGTCTCTACTTCGGCTTCTCGGGGCCGACTGGATGCGCTGACGGTGTTGGCCATTCTCGAGGCAGCGCTTGGCCCGTCTGCAACGTGTCCTGGAACAGCGCATGCGCATGCCGAGTCACCTTGTGAATTGTTTTCTTGTTCCCACCATAGCTCTGTGTCAACATGACCAACGAGAAGATGCACCACTACATCAATGAAGTGCTTTTTCTACAGGAGCAAACAGAATGTGTACAAGAGGGAGTTACCATGGAAACAGCTTATTCGCTTGGTAACCAGACAGGAGTTTTGGATTTTTTTTTCCAGGTATTCATATAATATAATTAGATACTTTACAGGATGCATGCATTTCAAAGTACTGGAGACAAAGAATTTTCTTTCAAGAAAGTTTGTAAGAGACTTGATGATTTCTAATTCATTTATAAGCATTCAGGGTCAGTTGAGGCGCACACAGCCTTTCTCTGAAGGCGTGCTTGAAGGATTACCAATTGATTGAAAGAACAAGAAATGATCAGATCATTTTGTTATAAAAATATTCAACAGCGGTTATATGGCTAAAACTTTCCTTTTGGAATAGTTACAATATCCATTGTACAAGTACAATATTTTATCAATAGTACTAAGACTGGCAGGGCTCCCCTGGTGGCTCAGCTGGTGAAGAATCCGCCTGCAATGCAGGAGACCCCAGTTCAATTCCTGAGTTGGGAAGACCCGCTGGAGAAGGGACAGGCTGCCTACCCCAGTATTCTTGGGCTTCCCTTGTGGCTCAGCTGGTAAAGAATCTGCCTGCAATCCGGGAGACCCTGGTTCGATTCCTGGGTCGGGAAGACCCACTGGAGAAGGGATAGGCTTCCCACTCCAGTATTGTGGCCTGGAAAGTTCCATGGACAGAGGAGCCTGGCAGGCTACAGTCCATGGGATTGTAGAGTCAGACACAACTGAGTGGCTTTCACTTCCAGACTAGCAAGATCATAAAATAAATTCTAAAACTCTTGTTTATCTCCAAAGTTCTAAGTCTGAATATGGGAAACTTTGGCAGGAAAAAATGTATATACATACATGCCGTATAATCTTAGTGCCTCTGTGGGTGTTTATGTTTATCTTTATTGTTTCTACCTTATAAAGCAAGAATCTTTGCCTCCATGTCACCATCATAAAAATGAAAATCTATCATATAAACAGCAATCTCTGTCTACTAACATAAGGCATTATATAGATTTGTAAATAATATTTTTAAAACACTTGAATGTTGTTTAAAACGAATGCCATTTCACTATTGGAAAGAGTAATATATGATTTTCTACCCTTTATTCTTTAACTGTGTACATATAAATTATTTTATTTTATTCATTCTCCTATTAATAACATGTAAAAGGGTCTCCTTTCTGTTACTAACTTGTCAGTGTACTCTGTTTTAATTACAGAAGTTCTTCTCTTCCAGAAAGCCCCCTCTCACAATGACACGCATAGTATATAGTTTAACTCTTCATTACAGAATGGGTTGACAATAGCATATACTTTACCATATGTGGAAAGCCTTGAGTACCACTGCCCTCCTCCTCACTTGCTGCTGTGTCCTTGGCTGCAAAACAGTGGTCAGCGGAACGAAATTATTTCTATCTCTTTGGTTATTATCACCCTTGGGGGTCATCTTTGGAATCGTTATCTCAGTGGAACCCTCATCATCACAAAGTGGAAATGACAGTGGATATTCCTGCTTCTACTTCTCTTTGATCCCTCTGCAAAGTGCAATGAAAAGACATACCGAGTACAGAGTGAAAGTTGCATTTTTACCCATAAATTTGTAGGTCTGTGGGCTTCCCAGGTGGCACTAGTGGCAAAGAACCCACCTCCTGCCAATGCAGGAGACTTAAGAGACGCAGGTCTGATCCCTGCATCAGGAAGATCCCCTGGAGGAGGGCATGGCAACCCCCTCTAGTATTCTTGCCTGGAAAATTCCATGTTTAGAGGAGCCTGGCAGGCTATAATAGTCCATGGGGTTGAAAAGAGACACTACTGAAGTGACTTAGTACACAGGCACACATATAGGTCTATATACCAGAAAGAAAAAATACAACTTTTCTGTGGTTGGAAATTCTATTTTTCTTAAGATGAGAATATATATTTGAACAACTCCTGTGTTTTCAGTACGTTAAAGCACACTATTTTATATATTTATTAATTTCTGATAAAAAAATACTACTGAGGGTCAACATTACATCAGAGCTTTGCTAGGTGGTGGGGACACAGTGAAAAACAAAAATAGGTGTGTATTGAAAGACAAACTCTTGTTCTGAGCAGTTGTATTGACATGGTGAGGCTGTAAATGGTATTGTGTGAACAATAACGAAAATAGCCACCTGAGGAATGGAAGAGAAAAAACAACTGTCTTTTTAACTTTCAGAAGCCTTCTGGATTTCTCTCTTTATTGGATGAAGAAAGTCAAATGATTTGGTCAGTGGAACCAAATCTTCCCAAAAAGCTCCACGGTCTTCTAGAATCCTCCAACACAAATGCGGTCTACTCCCCTGTGAAGGATGGAAATGGGAACCTCGCCCTCCGAGAGCAAGGGACAGCTTTCACCGTTATGCACTACGCGGGCCGGGTGAGTTCACAGAAGTGAGCACTCATGGACCGAAGGTCTTGAGGGCAGCCCTTCAAGATTCTGATATTTTAGTTTTAATCATTGATCCTGGGTGAAAAACCCACAAGCTCTTTCTTCCCTAGGCTGTTTTCCTTTTTGCCTGATAAGGATTAGGCATCTTCAGGATGTGGGTGATGAAGCATGCAGTGTAATTCGTTTCATGATGTTTCCAGATTTGTAACTTGGGACGTCCCAGGGGGCGCAGTGGTAGAGAATCCGCCTGCCAATGCAGGAGACTCAAGTTTGATCCCTGGACTGGGAAGATCCCCTGGAGGAAGAGACAGCAGCCCACTCCAATATTCTTGCCTGGGAAATCCCATTAACACAGGACCGACTATTTAGACTGACTGTCTACAGTCCATGGGGTCACAAAAAGTGGGACATGACTGAGTGACTGAGCTTGCATGCCAGATTGTAACAATATGAGCAAAAGAGAGCTGGATTTAATACAGGTCTGCTCTGAACTTCGGGATATTTTCAAAATCCATTTGGACACCTGAGTTTACTTACCCTCAAAATAGCTGTTGCTATTGTTCAGTCACTAAGTCATGTCTGACTCTTTGTGATCCCATGGGCTGCAGCACGCCAGGCTTCCCTGTCCTTCACTATTTCCTGGAGCTTGTTCAAACTCATGTCCTTTGAGTCGGTGATGCCATCCGACCATGTTATCCCTTCTTTCGTCCCCTTCTCCTCTTTCCCTCAAGCTTGCCCAGCATCAGGGTCTTTTCCAACGGTTGTTAGTATGAAATTACTTTTCCTGAAGCATGTCTGCCTATGGAAGTCACTCTCAGATCCCTATCCGTTCCCTAACCAGGTTTGTAAAGCATGCTTCATGCTTCAAATCCTTCACGGACCAACTCTGACCTGCATAAACCACGTCACACTCCTGAGGCCAGGCTCACGTCGGGCTTCTCCGAGTGGGTCCATCACTTCCTCCAAGGCTCATGTGCCCCAGCTCTCCTCTACAAAACCTCTAGGCAGGTGCTCTATTCCACTCACTGTTTCTCTGCAGCTCTCTATGCACCCCCAGATGAAGCCCCTCACTCAAGCTAGAAATACCCTCCTGTCTTCTTCTCAAAGGCCAATTGTATCCATCTTTCAATACTTACATGTGCATCCCGCTTAGCCTCCAGTCCAACTCCCACCTGTAGTGAATTCTTCTGCTTCCGAATCTGTAGCCTCCAGACTTGCCCCTTTCTTTGGGCTGTAGTACGAAGAACCGTTTGGGGGTGAGATTCCTAGTTATTTTCTCGCTCTCAGTGTATTTCAGTTCGTTCCAACCAGTGGTTACTGAGGTGCTGCTGTAGGCCACAGCCCAGGCATTAGCGAATCAGAGACCTCAAAGGTATCACGGTCAAGTAAGGAAAGGAGGAACTGGCAAATGTTTATGCTCTAACTTGCTTACAGTAATATTGGACTGGAAATGACTCTGAGGGTCTCACCCTGTTGACCGATGGAAGGCTGTCACAGGCCAACCAAGAAGGGAAATGCTAGAGAAGAAGACAGATATCTTTACTTTGGAAGGAAAGATACTCAGTTTTAGATATTTTGAATTGGAGATTTTTTAATGGAAACCCTCAGGAGATGTTGAAAATGATGCTGGGAGGTTGGTTGCTTTTAGAAACGGTCATATTTTGGAAAATGTGTATCTGATAATTGAACGTGGAAAAGGAGAAAGATATTAGTAGGAAAGGAAAGTATCATGGAAACCAAGAGGGAAGGAGAGGTTGGGGTCAACAGGAAGTGTGCCTGGACGGGGTGGTTAGGCAGGAACACTTTGGGAGAAGTTCTAAGGTGATGGCTCAGGTGTGGGGAGGAGGTCAATGGATGATCTTGTATAATGAATGGATATGCTCAGAAATTAACTGTCTTTATATTTGAGAGATTTAGCCTTTAAAATTTTTAGAGCAGTGTCAATCTTTTAGTCCTGTATTTAGATTTTTGATCTATATTTTCTTTATATTAAGAATTTATTACAGAACATAGAAACTAAGATACTTGCATAATAAAATACCATTAGAACGTGAGGAAACTTTTCATTTCAAGAAAACTTTCTGCGTCAGAAAAAAAGAATTATTGAGGTGTAGTTCATTTACAATGTTGTGTTAGTTACAAGTGTGCAATAAACTGATTCAGTTTCACATAAGTATATTTATGTGTATATATACACACACATATATTCTTTTTCAGACTCTTTTCTATTATAGGTTATCCCAAGGTATATTGAGTATACTTCCCTGGGCTATACAGTAGGACCTTGTTGTTTATCTTTCATGTGTGGTAGCATGTATCTGCTAATCCCAAACTCCTAATTTAACCCTCCGCCCTTTTCTGCTTTGATGACCATAGTTTGTTTTCTATGTCTGTAAGTCTGTCTTTCTGTTTGGCAAATAAGTTCATCATATGATATTTGTCTTTTTCTGCCTTCCTTCACTCAGGATGCTCATCTCTGGGTCCACCCATGTTACTGCAAGTGGCGTTATTTCATTCTTTTCATAGCTGAGTGACATTCCATTGTGTATATGTACCCCATCTTCTTTATCCATTATTCTGTTGATGGACATTCTATTAAGCCACTATCTTTGTTTCTATATTCTTTCATATCCCCAGTGCCTGGGAAAGTGTCTGGCATATAAAATATGTCGATACATATTTGAATAATAAATGAATTATTTGATGATTTTTAAAAATAGTTTATTGAATTCATAGGATTTAGTTGAAAAATTATTTTTCTGCAAGTTTCATGGAAGGTATCTTCAGTAACTATACACCTTACCCTCCTGACCTGCCTTGTAAGTCTGTTTGTATTGTATCGGGGATATACTAGATGTTCAGTAAATGCTAATTGCATTAAACTGAATGGTACCAAGGTTTGGAATAATATTTTGCTTGCTAATTATTTTATGTTTGCATTCAAAAAGTATTACACAAGCACTTAATAAAATTTCAGTTGTTTTTAGAAAATCTGGGGAAAAGCAATGAAGAGTTTGAATGGACACAGTTATATCACTGAGCTCTGAGAGCCATAAAGCAAAGCAGAGAAAGCCATTGATTAATTGCCACATACTAAGACCCTGTGGAATCACAAAATTTCCTGTAAAAGCACCTTTATACTCTAAAGCAGGGTTTTCCATAATTGGAGTCAGTTTTGTGGTTTTATGAAAGCCTTCATCTCACTGAGATGCACTGATGAGTCTTAGCCCAAGGACTCCCTGAGGACTATTCACATGTTGAAGCATAGAGTCTATGTAATTTGTGGCAGTATGTCAAGCCATATGCCATTCTAATCATCAGATGTAGTAGCTGCCTATACTTCAATTCTGAGGCACTGCATTTTCAAGGAAAGAAGCACATTTCTGCATCTTGTAATTCAGAAGTTGTAACAAAGAGCTAATTGGCTTGAAATCAGCAGGCAGAGTCTATTTTGGACTATAGGATGAGCAATCCTGAGTAGCTCTCTGATGACCGAGTTGATCCCAAAGGTGACCTCAATGGCTTGGGGGGTCACGGGCTTGGTTGTCATCTCTTCTTTGCCCAGACAGATGTGCTAGAGTCCCTCCCATCACCACTTGTTGACTCTGTGACTCGTTTACCTAGTTTTGTTAGTAGAAGCGTACCACATCTCACAGGAAGGGCGATCATCCCTGCTGGTGATGATACTACCTCCAGCTGCCCGCCCCCAGGACCCACACATCCGACTGCAGGCGCCCCAACCAGGCTTCTGAATCTCATTTGGAGCAGAGGCTCAGAGGTCTTTTAGGAATGTTTAAGCAACATTATTTAAATTATAGCCGAAGATCTTTCCTAAACACATTTGAATTTTTCATTACTCATAGGAGCATGATGTATTTTCCAGTCTCCGTTACAGAAATATTTTAAAGTCAATGGGAAGAGACTGTGCATGAAATATTAACAAGGTCTCGTTAGTGAGCATGAATTTGAATTAAACAAGCTGTGAGTTGTGTGGGATTTTTTTTTTTAATTGTTGTTATTTGTTTCAGCAAATTTTAAACTGTATACCGGGTCACCTGTTTTAGGGATTGCTCTTAAACTTCTGGTGATTTAAATGATGGATAAGCATTAAATCTGGAAGAGCATCTAATTTGGCTTTTAAAATTAAGAATCTTGAAGGAAGGAGGAACTATGATTTGGCGAAAGACGTTGGCTGTTAGGAAAGCTGAATTTCTTGAAGGTGATTCCTAAGCTCTAAAAGGAAATAGTGTTTCTAAGCCCTTACACTTCGATGTGAGAAAAGAGTATCAATCGAGGCAGTAAAGCAATCTGAAATAATAAAACTTAAATTCTTGAGGACGGAGATTGGGACTAATAGCTGTCAAATGTATGACACGTGTTTGATCCTCTTCGGTGTCTACTCAGAAAGTCTTTGTCTGAACACTGTTGTGATCCTTGTTGCTTTTTTGGCACGAAGCGATTCTTTGGGGATCTCGGGTAAGTGTCCCATTGATGATTCCCGCAGACCAAGCGGGTGATGTTGCTCTTACCTAAGGTGATGTGTCGGTGTTTCAGCCTCCCTCTCTTTCCAAGCACACGGAAGCGCGGTGGGTGGGAGAGTGTCCCCATCCCAGAGGGCGGGCCCTGCTGATCACCCCTGGAGGCTACAGATGGGCTGTGATTCGGAAGAGGGTCTTTGCATGGGTAGTTAAGTCAAGGGTCTTGAGAGGAGAAGATCCTCCTGGATTATCTGTTGAGTTCCAAGCCGGTGACAAGTGTCCGTATCAGCGTGAGGTGAGGGAGAGTTGAGAGAGAAACAGACTAAAGGGATATGGCCTGGAGCCTCCGGAAGCCGGAAGAAGCCAGGACGGCACGCGGGGACGCCTGACTCCGGAGTGGCTGTTGGTTACAGCAGCTCTGGGAATTAACGCGCGTGTTCCTTGGTTCAGCGTTTACAGATTAGAAAAGTAGTGAGGAGTTGTAATTTGTAACACTGTAGTTTTGTTTTG